AGGCAACTCTGGCACATCTTCAGAGGCTTCTGAATGAGCACCACTTACCCTGCATTTGCCTGAGGCTGGTTAAACCTTTCCACCCTTGCTAGGGTGTCATCAAAGGCCTTCAGAGACCAGAACAGCAGAAAACAGGCGTATCCCAAAATGACTCCTGGCATTTCAACACTTGGTAGTTATGACAGCTGGAAAAAGAATGTCCTCACTTGCGGCTTTTATATAGTCCCATGTACATGAATATGCAAGAGTGTACAACTTTTCCAAACCTGATGAAGGCAGTGAATCACACCACCTTCTTTCATGGCCATCATCCACATAGGTAGCTACTGCTTCCTAGTAACATCCTCAAAGAAGATAAAGAATGGGGACACAACTCAGCATCTGCATCTGCTGTTAACCTGTTCTGATAGGCTGTCAAACTAGTTTTCTGTATTCACTTTCATGAATATTAATATTCACAGCAAAATCTCATCCTCAGTATGACTTCCAGACTATTTCACCCCAGATGTCCAGTCCCCACTGGACAGCTGTACTAATGTACAGGTGAGTAACTCTTGTGAGTTTTTGTGTCTTTCCAAGACACAAAACTTAGGATGCTAGCAAGTCTTTACCAAAAGCAGTTTTGTTGACTGTAGAATGAAATCCTCATCAGCATTTCAATTACCCTAGAAACAGCTTTTAGTGCTGAAATCTCCAATTTCATTTTTCAGAACAGGGAATGCAGGGAGCTATGGCTGTGATCAATATCCAAAGGTAACTTCTCCATTCTTTTCTTCATCACATCACAAACTGAGAGCCAGAGTTTAAAAGTCTTGGGTCCCTTTCTTACCTCATCAACAAGAATTTCCAAGGAGTTACAGCTACACTCACATTTTTCCTGCGAACAATCCATTGAATTACTTTGTTTTTGCAGAATCAGTCATAAATGTTAAAGATGGTGCCAGTGTGAAACTGACAGAACGGGCTATGCTATGAAAGTGAATCAAGGCTGCAGAAAATGCTCAAAGGCTCTGTTCTGGTCCAGATATTCACTGAGTATTTTAACACAGCTGAGCACTGACTCAGGGCTCAAGAGAATACCATAGCTGGAAAACCAAACTGTGAGCCAGTATATCTAGAATCAAGTGCTGAACTTCCGCTGATACATCCAGCATTCAGATACAAGGATGAGACCAGGTCAGCCAATTGGAAAGCTGTTCTAAGTACTACAGGTGTAACTGGTAGCACCAACCTCTTTTTCAGCAGCAGACAAAATTCAGGTGACATGTGTGAAATTCCAAGTTGGACAGACCAATGTAAACTTTATACACTCTACAGAATTACCTAATTTCGATAGGAGGTGAAATAATAATAATAAAAAAGGCAGACAAATAAAAAGGGACTAAGGTGAGGTCGTTCTTGACCATAAGAATATCTTATAAGATATATTTAAAGGTCTTCCCAACAATGTCTGCTCATGAAAGAGCACACTTATATGGGACATTACAATCATAGAATAATTTGGGTTGGAATGGACATTTAACAACTCTGTAATTCTACCTTCCCTGCCATAGGCAAGGATACTTTCCACTAGATCAATCTGCTGAAAGTTCCACTCAATGCGGCCTTGAACACTTCCAGGGATGGGGAAGTTGCCCACAATTTCTCTGGACAACTGGTGCTTCTCTGGGCAACCAGTGCTTTATCACCCTCACAGAAAATAAGTTCTTTGTTATAGCTCAATCTCAATTTACCATCTTTCAGTTTAAAGCCATTAGTCTCTATCCTACTGTCATGGTTTGACACTGGCACGATGCTAGTGCTCCCCATGAAAATGCAATCTCTTAACTAAATGCTGTGAAATGCGATTGAGAACAGAGCAAAGCAGGCTCAAGCTTAATAACAAGAAAAAACTTTATTAAACTACTACTACTATGTTATTATAAAAGAGGGAAAAAAAAAAGAAACACATACAATTTAAAATGAAAACTTTCTAAAGCATTCCTCCTCCCACCACTTAACTCTAACAAACTACAGTGAGACATAATCTGGACTCTTATCAGGTTTTTACTTTCTAGATAATTAATACTTAGTCTATCTGTAGGGAGAGAGGAGTCTCTCTTGTGCTACAGACTCCCCAAGAAACACAGCTGTTACATTTTGTGCTTCTATGTCACCACATGGCACTGCCTGGATAAAAAAGTTTGTCAGTGGTGACTCTCCTTTCCACGCACAGTGCTTTCACTACTAATGCATGGATGGACAGACTGCTTTTTAGGATTTTTCTTTTTAAGGATGCTCTGCTAAGAGGGGAAAAACAACAGTTTAGTTTTTTCATTTTTGGGACTAACAGTCCCCTCTATTTTCCCCTGCAGCCAAGGGTCTAAGAACAGAGATCTTTTTCTCTTCTTTTTCTGCGAAGACCGGGGGCACCACCACAAACTTCCTTATCTTTTCTTTGTTCGCTTCACTTTTGTTTTTTTCCAGCTGAAGCATGGTCTCTGGCTCACCGGTATTCTCTTAAAATACAGTTTTTCTTGGAGGAGAAGATTAGTTCAGTTTGTAGCTACTAAGAAAAAAGTCTAGTTAAAAGCCACTCTATCATCTCTTCCTACCTAGAATTTCTCCTTCTAACATCCTAGGTCTCAGGCTGTTTCTCTTTTTTTCTTTTTAAACTAAGGAGGAGAAAAATTTTATAAAGCTTTTATTTTTTAGGAAGGGTTAAAAGTCCCAACTCCCAGAGATGGCTCGCTGCTCAGGCTCTAGTTCTTACAGGCAGCTGAGCACCTTGCGGCCCCCCCCCCCCGCTCTTCTCCTTCCCCACGGTGAACTGCTGGCAAAACCACCGCCGTCTCTTTTTCTCTCTTTCAAGAGAGAGACTCTGGGGGGAATAGAGACATCCCAGGTTTTTCTACCTTTCCATCTGCAGGGGGCCAGCCCGGTTCTAGTCTCTCTACCTTTAGGCTTACTTCTGAAGGCCACATGGCTTCTCCCCTCCCCCACCCAGCTCGTGGCTGGGCAGGGGAGAGTCCTGCACTGACTGTTGACTGGAACTTAAGAGAAAGCAAGTTTTCCTGAGAATTTTGTTTTTAACCTCTCTGTGTTTTTAGAAACGTGTCTACCTTCAATTGGTCAATGTCTAAATTGACCTCTTCCTTCCGGAAAAATTCTTTTTCTGTGTCAAACCACGACACCTATCAATTATGAACAGTCTTATTTGTTGAGAGAAAATACACTTCATTGCGTAAGAATCGTGGTGAGAATTCAAATTGCAATCACATTTCCTTGTAGGCTTTATATTCAGACATTTACTATGAGGAAGAAGAAACAATAATTACAGATGAGTTTATAAAACAGAGCCTGTAAACTGACAAAGTATTATGTTTCACCATCTAGTTCTTTTCCATTTTCTGTTACATTTAAATAGCTCAGACTGTCTTCTGAATTGTTCACAAACCACATCGTGTTTTTGGTAAATGTTACACTGAGTAGCTAATGTCCAGATCACCTACCAGCTACCAACCATAGTCAACATTGCACCTGTTGCAGCTCTTGGCTTATGGAACAGTCATATCTCAACTTTCCACTGCAATAAAAATAAACGCCAAAAGCTAATCTAACAACCTAGTATGAGTGTTTTTAAATAGATGAAGCTGAAAACCTGTCCCCTGCGGTTGAGTGAGGTTTATGATAGTAAGATTTTCCTCTATTTAATACATGGATAACATATGCTTCTTTGAAAAGAAGTGTCATACTGTTGTTGTAATGTAAAAAGAGTGCAATGTAAAAAGTGTATTTAAAACACTGAAAAGGGGTAATCTGCTCATTAGTATTATACTGATGAAGCTCTAAACTCACTGTGACAATTATCAGGATCCAGGATTTAAAGTCCACATGCCCCTACACTAAGTCATATCCTTGATACTATAATTATTAAACAGGATGCTCAGGTTGCAATGACTGAGCCATAACAACACACTTCAGATTTTTATATCATTTTGATTTAAAATGCACACTGAGCTGGGATATTTTGGTGAGCACTTATTCTTATGATTGAATACTATTTTAAAAATATTTTAAAAACTATTTTAAAAAATAGTTTTTATAGTCTAGGTATTTGTAATATGAGAAGACTATTGAGCTAAATGGAAAAAATTATGGTGAAAATGGCTCACAAATTAGAGAAGCTGCACTTACTTGGTGCAGGATTCTCTAGGATTCTCACCTATATCAGTGAAAGCATTCAGAGTCTTTCACCTTGCTATTTTATGTCCCACAAAACCAGAGGCTTAGTACACATAAATTGCTGAAATAACATTTTTCCATTTACATTTTTTCTGGTCAATTTTTATTCTGCTTGAGTTAACACTACTGCTCCAAATTCCTCTTGTTTAGTTCCCAGCATAAGGTATTTACACAGATCCATTACAACCTCTCCCACACATTATATTCGTGAAGATAGCTTTCTATATAAAGCAAAAATATGTTTTCTGTCTTTGGAGATACTGTAGCTGCTAGTCAGAATTCTGACACAAAGGTGATCTCAACACCATACAGAAATAAGAGTCTCACCAAGTTCTCTCGTTTCAGCTTTCGCTCTGCCCCTCCCTACAAAAAAAGCAGGTGATGGAAATTATCTGAAGAAACAACCTGCATTTTCTCACATCCACATCACAATAGTGGGTTAATTACTGGGGTATCAATTATTATGGATTTTTCCCACCTTTTTAGTTTTTGCAGCTGAGAAGACTTCAAACTATGACAATAAGGAAGATCTTCTATTTTTCCAAGACTTAAGCCACAGCTTATTACATTTAATTCCACTTCAATTTTTCCAGTATGTAAACAATATACACTGATCCTGCTTCAGACTGACAATGCCTTCCGCACCAGGCACCACCAGTCAGCTTGGATATGAATCCACTAATGCTAAATCACTAATGCATTGCTGTTTCAACTACTGATCAACAAAACCGTTTGACAAGAACGCTGTAAAAGAAAAAGGGCAACTAATGTCTTACCTTGTTCTAAGAGCCACCCAAGCGGCATCAATGTCAGCATACATATTCTTCTCTGTAGGCTTCCCAGAACTTGCACCATATCCAGAATAATCATAGGAGAATATGTTGCAATTAATCCGTGAACCCAGTCCTATATAAAAGCTGCTCATCTGACCCAGGTCAACAGCATTTCCGTGTGAGAAGAGCAAAGTGTACTTGGCGTTAGGTGAGCAACGCACAAACATACAGGCAATCCTGTTGCCTTTACAGGTTCTAGTCATGAAGCACTCAATGGCATCTTTTTCTCTAGAAGAATATTGCCAGTCTGCTCGCTCTGAGAGATGCAAGGTCCAGCGACTACCACTCTCATCACACATCAGTGTGTATGTGGGATCAGGAGGTAAGAATGCCAGCTTAGAGGCAATTTTCCCTGGGCATGGTGGACAACAGAACAGGCAACACAGTTCACTGAAGGAAAGATTATTCATCTTCTAGTCTGAAATGGGAAGAGAGAATAGTATCAGTTTCCAGGTACAATCTGACATTAAAAAAACCCAACTTACAAAAAAAGTGAACATAACATCTCTAGAACATAATGCATAACTTCTGAACATTTAAGAAAACAAATACTTAAATGCATATATGTACATTTCCATATAATATTTAATTTTATATTATTAGTTACTTCACAATGAGTATATTATTAAAGAGGAGTGACAACTCTAAAGCCCTGCCAGCTATCAAAAGTAAAACATGATTACCCAGAGAAAGAACAAGAATGAGTTTTGGAATTTCTTTGGAAGAAATTAAGTTCCTCACCTTAAAACATTAAGAAAAACGTTCTTCACATTGACAAATACGTAATTGATAACAGTTGAAACATGTTGCAGAGTTGCAGCTGACTAAGGTATGCAGACTTCTGCAGCTAAAAATCACTACAGCATCTCTTAAATACAAAGAATGTATATTGCAAACACAAGGTATGGGCTCCTGCAAGCACTATCAGAAGTATGAAGGGTGCATGAAGGTCAAAACTTAGAAGACATAACAAGATGATGCTTCTGGATTAGCAAACGCTCTAGAGCTCTGGTACATGAAAATGTACCCATAAACTTCTCTCCTTATACTTGCTGACATAAATGTTTTGAAAACCTTCTAAGAAGTTTTTAGCTGTACTGCCCATAGGAATTTGGATTGTATAAATGACACAATTGTTTTGTTTTTTTTTCATGCTTCAAGAAACACATCCCATACTAAATGCTCTACAGCAATATAATCTATAGAACCAATTCAAAGCATTGGTTTCAACAGTGGTGGGGAGGGGAGAAAAAAAATAAACACACCTACCTAAAGCAAGATAGGTAAAGATACAGTTGCCCTTAAAACAGACATTGTGTTCTTTTAATTTAGAGCAGTGAGAAGGGAGTGGGGGAAAATCCTTTTTTGTGGCAATACTTTTTCTCAGAGATAAGAAGAGAAATGGAATTTGACAAGTACCATGCTGGAAACCAGCACACCAAAGATAAGCTTTTACTCTACTTTCCATGTGTTAAGGCATCTGACATTGCATTTTAAACAACTTTTTCATACCAAATCTATACACAGGTCTCAAGTTCATCTCCTGACAATTCCCTGTGAACATAAACACAGTTTCACATACTGACTTTGACTCAAGCTACAAAACAAGCAGATTTCAGTTGTCTACAGTACCATGCTGTTCCAGAACTATTTGGGTCACCCAACAATAAAATCTTACTGCTAACTATGACACCTAAAGTATTTAGCTATTTCAAATTTTGTCCTTAAATTTGTACAGAAGCCTAGTTTTCATGTCTAAATTTCTTTTTAATGAAGCTTCAAGGATAGTGCTGCAAAAACACTTTAACATGTATCACAGAACAACTATCTGTATTTTTGGATGCGTGAATGATCTCTTCCTGGTGATACAGTATGAAAGCATACTGCAAACAATGTTACATGGAGCATACTTTTAGAGCAGCAAAAACAGGCACAGTGAGACAGTCTGACAAACATATGAGCATTCATGGACTACCACAAAAAAAGAGGCTGCTGCAGCTAAGGGTTTCACCCCAGGTCTCTAGCTTTCTTCAAAACAGAGGGAAACCACAGAGGCTTAGACATGGGAGATCACTTCAAAATATAGAGGATATTGTGGGAAGTACTGATTGGCTCCCATAAGAAGGTATATAGGCTCTTAAAGAAGATAAAGGACCATATTCCTGCATGCCAAAGTGAAAATAATATTGTGTTTCAGCACAATTAGTCTCACAAATTTGGAATAACTCATCCCCATCAGATGAGATTATGTGAACATCAAGTTTCAGTTATACCCACAAGTCAGGATACATGGAAGGAGTCTATGGAGGAAGTCTAATTATTAGCAAAAGGTTTAGATTGTCTTATGTAAAGTGAAAATCCTATTGTTTTGGGGGTGGTGGTGTGTATTTGTTCCTTCTTCACTTCTCTTGTAATTATGAGCACCAAAGAAGCAACTTCTGTCAGCTGCACTTAATGAGTTCATCTTCACAGTCCAGAGAAACTCCTGTGATGCCTCAACATGCTTTTCTCCCAAGCACTTATGACACAATACTCAAAAATTACTTATATTTCTATCAGAAACTATTAAAAGGATCTGTTCCAAGTGAGTTTTCCCACCTTTACAGAAACGCTAAAGGTGAAGTTAGATATTATACTTTATTCTAAGGGGGTGATTATTATTTTTTGTGAAATATTTGAAAGAATTTGCACCTCCAAAAGTGAGATATAAACAGCTTGTCTTGCCCAGGAAAAGTGGATTGCACTCTATACCAGCACACAATGAGAACTACAGAATTTCTTATTTCTTCCAATTCAACTTGTCAGAAATAATTAGAACAGGAGTTTACATTATTTGTAAGTATAAACAGCCCAGCAACACTACAAATATTATCTCACTCAGAAAATATTTTCTATTTGCCAAAGTAATTTTAGAAGACTGGAAACTAGCCTGCAGGATTCACACACAGGGCAGTACTGCAGTAACCACAGTGAATTAGCAGATGTGGTGGTACTGTCCTGCAAGATAGCTTAAATGTGCTAAAAATGGGCTGTCACCAGATATGGCAAATAACATGCTGAAGACAACAGATGAAGTATTATTCCTCCCCTGTGCTAGACTAATGCAGGATTTATGTATTGATCTTTTAATCCAATTGAAAATATGCCTACTGAAACAAAATATTTCGATTTCAGAGTAACTCTCCAGCTAATCATGGCTAATAACAACTCTCTTTACAACAAACACCTGCTACTTTCTTCACTCAGAAGACCCAACACAACCAGCAGGTCACTAACTGAACCAATTTGATACAAAACACCCCCTGAACTTCCACAGAAAAGCTCCAACTAAATGCAAACAGTGTTTCTATTATACTGGAACTGGTTTGTCATTCACTGTGATGGATTGTATTCATGTGAGAGTGTGAATAAGCTGGAGGTGTGCTTTATCTGGATTCTTCAGGAAGCTGAGGCAAAAACAACTTTGACTAGATTACTTTAAGCATATGGTTCCACAAGTACAGATGAGTAACTTTAATGGGACTCATTTGACTAAGATATGTTGTGAATACCTAAGTTATAATCTAACACCTTCTGAGTATGCATGATGTAAATCTCTGTGCTCATTACAGCATCATCAGATTCTGAGATCAACACAATCCAATGCACAACTATCTCACTTTCTACTTGACATTTCAGTAGTGATAAAAATGCCAATGCCGTTCTGCAAACACAATTCCTACAGCTGGTAAAATATACTAACAACAAAAAATACAATAAAGAAATATACATCCCCTTTAAAATTATACTGCACTTTTCATAGTAATTAAGCATAAAAATTCAGTGGAAGATACTGCAGAAAACTCTTCTATTGCAGCAATAGAGGCTAAAAAATAAAACACGTCCAAGCTGTACTACTTACCCCTTCTGAGATAGCTTTTAAAAGGAAAGCTAGAGCATTTTATCAGTTTTATCTCTTTAACTCTCTTGTGAATAAAGACCTAATATATAAAATTACAAATATAAAACTGCCCACAGCCAGTAATTTCAATACATTCTGTGGCAATTAGCCTTCTCATAAAGGCTGACAGAAGGGAGAAAATGTCTATTTAATCTTAAAGAACACCTGAAGTACTTATCTTGTGCTTCCTAGGATAACACAAAAGTAATTTTTTCATATAAGTAATTATTCCTGTCCTCCTATCTCTGTACATAATAACAGCACAGTGGAACCTATTAGTCACATCTTTGAATATTTCACTATGTATCAGTTTCAAAACCAGCAAAACCTTGCAACCACTTATCTAGAAATCTTATATTTACATTCAATATAAAATATTCTAATTGTTTATTTAAATTAAATTGCCTATTTCATGGGAACTATTCACAGGAGCAAAGTCAAACTCATAAATATAACTGCTGCTTTGGAACTTTAAGTGTTGTTCAAAACATAACGGGCACGAAATTAAAATTGGTGGGTTTTTTTTTTTTTTGGTTGCTATTTGTGTGTATTTTGGTTGTGGGTTTGATGTTTGTTTAGGGTTTTCTTTCATCTTTACTGTTCATTATCTACTGCTGAAAGAAGAAATTCTAAAGCATTTTTTCTAACACTTTCATTGAAGACAATATAATGAGAACGTTAGTGCAAGCCACTACTGAAGTACCGATATGTACTTCAACACCTGTGTAATATTAAAAATGGAACAGAATGGTACGAACGTCCTTTAACTAGTCCAACAGTTAAAGCAACAAAATGTTCAGAGAAAAAGAACTAGTGTCTGATTAAGTACCACATAAAAGGATTAAGAGACTATTAAGAAAGAATACACAGTAAGTCCAGAAGACAACACAAAGAAAGTATATTTGATTATAAAAAACCTATATTAAGAAATACTGTGAAGTAAATATTTAAGGTAGTTTTCAAGGGACAAAGTAGGTTACAAGAAAACAGAGAAGCCTGATGGAACCAAAACTTTACTTTGGTTAATTTGATTGTAAACAAAAAACTACCCCTTCTAGTCTTACAAACTCTAGCTATTTTAACACATACATAGAGACATTATTTATCCTCTGCTGGTTACTTTGTATATATCAAAACCTAACGGCATAGTCGAAATAAGACAGGGAATACTGGAAACATTAACTAAAAAATCCAGACATTCTTTATCACTCGAAGAACAAACTAAACCTCTAAAGGTTCCAGATACACAGGTGTGGAATTAAGGCGATTACCTAATACCTTGCATGCTCCAAGCCAAACTGTGCCCCCGGAGCTGCTGCTAAAGCCATCCATCCGCCGGCTGCCGGCGCTGAAGCCCCGCCGTGCCCCAGCGCGGGTCCCAGCGCAGCCGGCCGGCCGCCAACGCGGAGCTCCGCCTCAGCTGCTTCGACTGCGATTTCCGCAGCCACCAACTCTCCTAACTAATTACTGACCAAATACTTTACATTTTTTTCGATTAATAATACCTGAGAGCAATGGTAAGGCCAGCGTCACTCCCACCCTCAATTGCAGAAGCTGAAGGAATGAATTTAAGCAGGCTGGCGGGAACTAAATCAACTCCTCAGACGTCCGCATCTGAAAAGGGTCCTGCCGAAGTCCTCAGCAGTGACTCAAAGGCACTGTTTGGAGCCGCGAAAAGCCAGACTTTAACAATCGCGTCACCAGCCAGTGCGCCCGTTTCCAACAAAGGAGTCCAGGGCAAGACGAAGACGGGAGCACCGGGACAGATCGCCCACAGCACCTGAGCAGCCCGAGGCAGGTGGCACCCACGGAGACCCCCGAGCCCCGCGACACAGGGACATGGACAGGAGGGTGGCGGGTCCGGCAGCTCTCAGCCGGCCCGTGCCGCAGACCGAAGCCGCGCCGCCCGCCTCTCTGAGGAGACGCCGCCGCGGGCCTTTCCGCTCCAGGGCCGCCTCAGGCCTGCGCGGACGGGCCGCGGGGCCGAGCGGGGGAAGCGACCCGGACGGACCCGCGAGGAGGAGACATCTCGCCCACACGCGGCGGCGGCGGCGGGCACCCGCGCACCGTCCGTCCCGCCGCGCCGCGGGAGGACGGCCCATACCTGCACCTGGCGCTCCGCCCGGCGGCCCCGCGCTCTCCCGGCTGCCGGCTCGGTGGCGTGTGGGGATGCCGGCCGTGCTGAGTAACGGCGCGGCGGGAGGCGGCCGTCCGCGCCGGAGAACGCGCGGCCCTGGCAGCGCCGAGCCCGCCCCGCGCAGCCTCCGGAGCGGAGCCGGCCTCGCCTCGCCCGCCGACTGCACCGCGGCGGGGCGGGGCCCGCGGGCCGCAGCGCCAATGGCGGCGCGGCCGCGGCGGCGCCGCCCAGCGCGGGCGGGCCCGCGGAGCGGTTCCGGGGCAGGCGGCGCCGGCCCGGGATGAGCTCGGAGCGGGGGAACGTGTCGCGCACGCGGCCGCAGCGCCACCAGAACGCGCACGCCTTCAGGAACGACAAGTACGACACCAGCGCCCGGCGCAAGGTAGGCGGCGGCGGGCCCCGGCCGGCCCGGGACACGCGGGGCTGTCCCGGCGCCAGAGCCGCCCCTCTGCCGGCCATGCGTCACCTGGGGCCGGAGCGGCGGGAAGGGCTTCTTGCCGAAAGCGTGGGCAGGTCCCCCTACGGTCTCTGGAGCCGTATCCTGTCCCTGTGAGGTCTGGTGCCAGGTCCGGATAGGCTTCGGGATTACAAAGCAAGTCACGCGACGGTGGATGCCGAGGGACCGCTTTAGTGATGGAGATACCTCTGGCCCGGGTCCGCCCACAGCGGGCACAGTGCTGCTAAGAGAGAATCGTTAGGACACATTTCACACAGTTGTCACTGTAAGCAAATGTATAGTGTGAGACTTATGACATGAAAAAACCTAGTTAAGCCAAAGAATTGTAAGAGGGAGACTGAAATAAAGCGCTTACATTTGTGCAGTGAGTGCAGCAATTCAATGTTCAATGGCGCATTATCCACACCACTTCTTGAAAGGTGTTTGCTCATCTCCAGGTTTGTGACAATGTGGTCGTAACTCAGAAATCTTGATGTTTTGAGAGCTTCGTTTAAACAACTTTGCCCCATCACATGTAAATACCTAGCTTCAGTCGGCCTACTTTTGAGATAACTTTCATGTGTACTTCAATTTCTTTATTAAAAAAGGGGTCTCTTCTGGTAAGTTAGATAGAAAGGTGTGTTCAGTTAGTCTATCAGCACTTTTGCTACAAAAGTTATCGTCTTCACTCTGTTGTTCCAGAAGACTGTTTTGTCTATTTTGGTTCTAAGCAGGGAAGGGGAAATGGTCTACAATATATTCTTGAAACAGGCTCTGTGCTTTTAGTTTTGATAACGTAATATACAAAAGAGGCTGAAGAACACGTAGTGTGTCTGAGCAGTAACACCACCAAAGTGGGGTTTTTCATCTTGCAGGCTAAACCAAGAAGGTGACTAGGACAAAACAGAGGATGAATAATCTAGAAGAGTTTATCTGGTGCTGTTGCTGTCACATCAATATCCCTTTTTACTGAACCTGCCCGGGTTGTCAAAAAGAGCTGAAGGAGTGGAACAAAGTAGTAAATTAAAGCTTTGATGCCAAAGAGGGAGGTTTGGGTTTTTTGTGGGCTTGTTTTGATTATTTTTTGAGGGTTTTTTGTTTTTTTTTTTAGGACTGGTTCTGCAAGTTGAACAGGCTGCTTTTCTGGGATTCTAAGCAGTGACAGTATTATTTGTTGTGTGAGTCACTGCATGACCTCTGATAGGAGAGTATTTTCTGGCTGGGTACAAACATACACACAAAAAATGTCATAGAGAGCTGGTCTATTAAATAGTTTTCAAAGAGAAACTGAGTTCTGATATCAGTTTTGTAACTGAAATAATCACTTCAATACCCACGTGACTGTTTTTCTGTTTTTCTTTCTTTTAAAAATAATTGCTATCCTGTAGAACTGGCTACACAATATCATGCATTCACAATTTTTTTTTTTTTTTTTATGTGGCCGAGGTTTACTGTGGACATCAACTTGTCTCTTTTTTCTTTCCATTTCAAGCAAATTATTTCTTTCCTCTTTGTGTCTGCTGGTTTATGGAGAGGGCTGAGTGTGTGGAAGTAGCATCCTATTCTGGGGTTAGATAATGTTTAGTAAGGGGAAAGGATGCATTCGTTTTTCTTAAGGCATCCTGTCAGGTACAAATTCAAGTCTTAAGGTACTGCTGTGTTTTAGGAATTATATTCCCCAACTTAGTATTCCAACTGAAACACTCTAAGCCATGCACCACTCACTCGCTCACTCTTCCCTTTACCTCTCTTCCTGCATAGCCCTGGAGAAGAGAATTGGAGGCACAAAAAGAAAAGATCACATGTTCAGATAAGAACAAGTTACTGAAAAGAGCAAATGAAATAAGAAAACAGTCACAGCAATAGTGTAGAAGAGATCATTCGCACATAAGCATTCACTATGTGGAACCTCTGGCAGTGCCAGACCACACCATACTACGTGACCTGGAAGGGACCCTTCCCCCCATTCCTGCAAAATGATGTGAGGTGGTATAGAATAACCTTAGTGTCCTAGCCTGGAAAAATTAACCCAGGCTTAGCCAGAACAGGACAGGGATACACAGGGGTCATTATAATGATGCTAGCCCCATTTTGCTGTTTTAAAGAAGTTAGACTAGCAAAGATGAAGTGGCGATTAATGTCATCGTTTAGATATGGACTATGCTGAATGATGACAGTTTTGCATCTTTGTCTTCTGCAGTCCTGGATGATCAGATATGTCATGGATGTTCAAGGTATGATGAGGAAAACGAAGAAATCATAGAAATTCTATCATAGGGACTGATAAAGGAGTGGGGCATACTCTTTTCTACCTCTCATTAGCTCAATAGATCAAAAGAATGCTTAAAGCTCCTCAAAGAGAATAGATCTCCTGTAATTCACTGTTAAACATAGGGGGGTTTTTGTATGTGGCCTGTCTACTGTTGTACACTGTCCAATGCGGTGCTATCTTGAAAGGCTGCAAAATGCTTATCAGCTTAAAATTTGGATCCTGCTGCAACTGTGCACTGCATTAACAACGTTGAATATTTACTACAATAGCTTCAGATCCAGTGGGTGGAGTTGAGGTAGTTAATTATTATGGTGTTATGCTATTTCTCTTAGTGAAGCAGTATCTGCAGAGGAAATTGATCTAATAATATTTGACTTTTCTCTGCTGGCAGTCATTATCCAGTTGGTTTTTGGTTTTTTGAAATGTTTTGTGCTCTTTATCTGACAATGACTGTGTCATCCATTTTCTAATCTTAGAGGCCACAGACATGATTACTTGAGAACATGATAGAAGACCCATCTGTCTTTCCTCTAATGATCAGTCTTTACTACAGCATTGCTCTTGAGACTTGTTGAGGTGAAACATCCTTTCAACAATGTACACTGCCTCTCTATTTGGGAAACAGCTACAACAATGCTCGAAAAGTTTGCGTCTTAGGATGACCTGAAGAAGCAGTAGCCAGGACAGGGTAAGACACTGTCTTGTTAGTTATTGAATCTTGGAATTTGTTTATTGGTGTTTGCATTATATGGTATATTCCAGAATAGCTCTTTGCAGCACCAAGCTGAGGAATATACATTATGTTATATGAATATATGTTTTATGTAAAGTATATTTCATAAGTTATCAAGGAAACTGCAGTAGCTCTAGAAATGAAAGCAAATATCATTTAATGAGAACATTTAGAATTCCACTGTAGTAAGATGGTAAACCACAAAGTGATTCATATTTACACTCAAATGACTGATTTGTTTCTTCATTTCTTTCCTTTCATTAAGATGATAATCCACATTTCCCTAAATTTCAGGAGTTATTACTTCTGAACCTCAGCTTTACCACAGTGTAACTGTCAGTCACTTTTTCAGCCAGGTGCATGCATAAGTCACTTGTTTTAGTGGAAACACTGTTTTAGACTGTGGGAAAGCACTAGGAAGAGAACAGCTGAATGTAAAGCTTAAATGCTGTGTCATTAATCATATTTTGAAACACAGAAGGGAGATAGAGATAAACCAGTGGCCAACTGGAACTGTTAGATAACCATAGTGCAATTTTTTTAGATAACTTTCTTGCTGCAATGTAGAGTAGCTTGGTAGACTGAAGTCTACTCTCTAGCCTGTTATTCTGGGTTCAGAAGTACATTCAGTCTTGGGTTGTAGCCTTTTATGTAGGGAGAATAAGAGCAAGTATAACAACTGCTCTGGACTCTAACCCAACTCTGGAGGTGGGGCAGAGAGTAAGAGAGAGAATATGTGGGTGCATGTAGGAGGTGTGTTTGGTGTGTGTGTGTTTATGTGTCTTTGTGTATTTTCCATTCTTTCTGGGGGAGATGGTGAGAATCCTTCCAGTGCTCTCTTAAATGCTATATGCATATGTTACTTAAATTTTGAAATACACTTGATGAGAAAATATCTGTAGAAAAAAGAATTTCAGGCAATGCTGGTAGAATATGTGAGCAAGTGAAGCTGTGTGGGGGACAGTTTCAGCCTGTGTAGTGTGTATTGGAACCTGAAGTCTAGCATCTGGTATCTCAGTTTCACCTTTGTCAGTCTGCTGCTTTTACTGCTTAGTAGTCGTGTGCTGTGGGTTTTTTGGGGTTTTTTTTGAGAAGTTCAGTTGTTCAGAAATTCTGCATTCATCCTTGTGCTGCATTTGGCCTTGCTGACTGAAGCAGTGCCACCTGTGTTTCTGACAATGAAGTTTATGGGTGGTATTAACATTACACTTGGTTACAGCAGAATATACCACTGATATGTGCTCACTAGAAGGAATCTGCTTTCAGTAGAGGAAATCAAAATACCCATAGGTTTCACGCATAATTAGAAGCTTACAAGCAGATGGTGAAGCTTCTTTGAAGCCCTGTCATTACATCCTACCTGTGAGCACTTTAATGCTAGTTTTAGCTAGGGATTATTTTGTGCCAAGTTAGTAGGTGTAGGTGCATTTGTTTACTTTAATACATTCTGAACTGCTTTTGGCAAAGTTGTTAGGTGATTTAATATTAGGTTATGTGAGCAGAGAACGTTGATTCGTTAATGTACAACTGAATGTGCTTATAGTGTGCACATGGAATATTTTGTGGCATCATACCTTAAGGCTGCTTAGGTATGTCTGTATTGCATAACTGTAATTTCCCTGGAGAATGTATAGACATACTGTAAGCACTGAAGGAGTTGCACTTGTCATTGGAGCAAAGTATGCTAATTAAGGCTGCTTAGGTATGTCTGTATTGCATAACTGTAATTTCTCTGGAGAATGTATAGACATTCTGTAAGCACTGAAGGAGTTGCACTTGTCCTTGGAGCAAAGTATGCTAAAGAAAAGAGAGAGCTATTGACTAAAACAGGGAAATGAGCATAAAGAAAACACTAGAGAAACTGCTGCAACAGAAACATAATCTAATGTGTTGGAGTAGTTTTCACACCAAGAAATTAATTTCAAGCACTACCTCCTATTTGTGTGTGAGGCCCTGACTACCTGCATAAAAGCTGGGTAGAAAAGTTGGAAAAGAATAATGAAATTTACAAGCCTTTTTCAGGGCTTTGTGTGGGCTGTTTGGTTTAATGATATCCTCAAGGAAAAGTGAGCTATTAAATGAGAAAAAGGAAGAAAACATGAGTTTGTGAAAGTATACAAAATATACAAATATAATATACAAAATAGGTTAAAAAGTAAATATTAATAGGAAAAGTAAGCACCAGAGGATTTTATTTGATTTTACTAATGACTTCCCTATTCTGACTGGGAACTGAGAAACAAAAAAAATTGTCTTCAGGTTTATTATGGGAACTTCTCTCACATGCTTTTTTAGCATTTTCAAAAATCTGAAAAAACAGACTACTCAAATCTTTCATTAGGGACAGCTTTCTTTACTTATTCAAGTTTGCATTTCTTTTGAGAGTGGTGTGTTATGGATTATTTTGGTCAGAGGAGATGCTGAATTAAGTGTAAAAACCCACAATAAATTAACAATTTGTTTTAGTAATGGTAGCATTTAAATATCATGCCTTTTTTTCTCAGCAGAGGGAATCTAAAAGACAAACACAAGTTAAACTCTCTAACCGCTTTCTTTACATCAGTACAGGATTCTCTATTGACTTTCTAACCAACTGCCTGGTAGGATTGTAAAGTCGTGGTGGCTTTTGTATTCAGATATGCTGAGCCAATGATTAATTACAAAGCCCCATACTTGAGGCATCAAAATTGAGTAAAAATACAGGAAAATGCTGACGAGGGGGAAGATGCTCTGTGTGTACTCCTTAGAAGGCGGAAGTTAGAACTTAAAGCTGTTGTCTTTCTTCCTGTTTATGACCTTCTGAGCAGATGCAATGTAATTCCTTTATTAGTAGCTGTGTAAGATTTGTGGTCTTGTCATGTTGACAAGTCCAGGCATCTTTATGCCAGTGTCAGGATACTTAAAGTGATTTTTAGCACACATAAATGTGATGATGGAATCATATCATGGTTTGGGTTGAAAGGGACCTTAAAGATTAACTAGTTCCAAACCCACTGTCATGAACAGAGACACCTTCCTCTAGACCAGGTTGCTCAGGGTCCCATCCAGCCTAGCCAAGGGTGAGGCACCCACAGCTTCAGTGGGGAATCTGTTCCAGTGTCTCACCACTCTCACAATAAAGAATTTTTTCCTAAAATCTGGTCCAAACCTATAATCTTTCAGTTTGAAGCCATTCCCCCTTGGCCTGTGACTACCTTGTAAAAGTCCCTCTCCAGCCCTCTTGTAGCCCCCTTCTGGTACTGGGAGGTGCTCTAAGGTGTTCCCAGTGCCTTCTCCAGGCTGAACAGCCCCAACTCTCAGCCTGCCTTCATAGGAGAGGTGCTCTAGTCCTGTGGTCTACTTAGTGGCCCTCCCTTGGACTTGTTCTGACAAGTCCATGTCTTTCTTGTCCCAGATCTGAAGGCTTATGTGGTGTCTCACAAGAACAACATAAAAAGGCAGAATCCCCTCCCTTGCACTGTTGGCCAGATTTATGCGCTGCAAGTGCATGTTGCCAGCTCATGTTGAGCTTCTCATCCACCAACACCCACAAAGTCCTTTTCCTTAGAATACTCTTTGTCCATTCTCCGCCCACCTTGTTTTGGGATTGTGTTTGGGATTGCCACAGTCCAGGTACAGGACCTTGCACTTGGGCCTTCTTGGACGTCATAAGTTTTGTACAGGTTCACCTCTTAGACCTGTCCAGGTCCCTCTATATGGCATCCCTTCCCTCCAGTGTGTTGATCACATCATACAGGTTGGTGTCATTGGCAAACTTGCTGAGGGTACACTCAATCCCACTGACATGCCTTCTCCATGTCCTGGGGAACCATGTCTTCTGTATTCTTATCCCTTCTGAGAGGATCCACATTTTCCCAAGTCTGTCTTTGATCACTGACATACCTAAAGAATCTTTTTTTTTCCTACTCCTTGATTGTCTTTGCCAGATTTATTTCTGCCTGTACTTTAGCTTTCCTAACCATCTCCTTGGCTCATTGGACAATTTCTGTGTGTTCTTCCTCCCAGACTATTTTTCCCAGCTTACACCCTCTGTAAACTAGCAGTTTAAGTTTCTCCAGGAGTTCTTTGTCCACCCATGCAGGTCTCTCAGTTTTCTTTCTTGATTTTCTCTTTGTAGGGATGCATTGCAATTGAACCTGAAGGATACAACTTTTCAATATCATCTAGCTCTCTTGGGCCACTTTCCTCTGCATGGTTCTTTCCCATGGCACTCTACTAAGGAGATCCTTGGAGATGCCAAAGTCTGCTCTCTTGTAGTCCAGGGCAGTGATCTTCTTCCCACACTCCTCACTGCCCTAAGGTCCTTAAAATCCACCAGTTCATGATCACTGCAACCCAAGCTGCCCTTGAGCTTGGTTCTCCTGGTGCCCACATTCACTGGTGCCCCTCCTTTTTGGTGAGAACATTCCCTGGTGCCCCACCTTGTTGGTGAGAACAACACAGGACCTCTGCTTGTTGGTTCTTCTATCACTTGGAGAAGGCAATTGTCATCAGTGTATGCTGGGAGCCTCCTGGATTGCCTGTGCCCTACTGTACTGACCCTTCATTTTTGGCATCTTCAGCTTTTGGGATGGTCAGTATTTCAGTTTGATTGGAAAAAGAAAAAGAAGAAAAAAGAAATGTATCACTGTGAGATTGTTGTGTATTCTGGAGCCAGATGGTAAGAGTATTGGGGTGGGAAAGAGCTTTATAAAGCTCCATGAACAGTAACTGTGCATATTTTCTTGTTCCATAGCAAATATTTAGCAGAATTTGTAGTAGGCTGCCTGTTTGATGAACTTTGGATTTGCTTCAGATGAGAGGTTTCTGAAGTAGTTTCTGTTCTGTTCTTCAGGGCAGTCCTGAGCACAGGCTCTTGCATTCCAGTAACTTTAGGCTTTGCAGAGCCTGCTCCTGAATCACTCCATGGCATGGCTCCTAACCCCAGCCCCAGCCATGATGTCAGGATCTGTTAAGGGAAAATAGATCTTTTTCATGAAGGAAGCTAACTGTTTCTTTCGAAGGATAGCCATCTCCTTTCAGCTTAAGCTTCTGCAATTTTTTGACTGGATTCTGCCTTAGCACAACTAAAAATATCTAGTAACAATAAATGTATTCCTACCTGGAAAAACAAATTACAGTGTATCTAACTGCCTTCCTGCTTACCAGTCAATGCAAATCATGGGAGTGAAGGGGAGCACTGGGAAGTTCAGGCTAATTTGCAGGTTGTTGGGAGCTTTTGGGCTATAGTGCTTGGAGCCTTACTTTGCACTGGACAAGTGCTGAAAACAAGGCTTGTCTTTGAACTGCATGAATTTGAAAGACTGAACACAGACACTGCTCACAGCAGTTTGAATTGCAAGATATTGAATTGTGAGATATTAAATTGCCCTTAATTGTCTTTCTACTGGGAACTTACTGAAAATTTTCTTTTCTCAGAAATTTTGCACATTAAGCAGTTGTTGGTATTTTTTTGAAAATATCTCCATAATGCATCAGAACCACAGCTTTATGTATTCAATATTCAGGCACTATGCAAAACCTTGTTTGGTTGACTATGTCAAGTCTGTATTTGATCACTTAGAAAATAAGTTGATCATGCCATAGGAAAACTCATATTGAATGTGTAAGTTTAATGAAAAGTAGACAATGTCTACAAAAAGTAGACACAAGTCCCAGAGTATAGTTTCACTTGAAAGTAGCGTCTCTTCTGCCATATAGATTTTTTGGAATAGAATAAGACACTATGTTTTTAAAGCTTGGCTTGTTTTGGTTTTATGTATTGAAGCAGAGCTTTGTGGAGTAAGAAAGTCTTGTGACTCACAAAAGCAGGAAATGACTTCAGAAGACGCTGTATTTGGAGAATTTTTTTTTTTCAGTTTATTTGTGAAAGAATAAGATCAGTTGTAATCTAGATTAATGGAGAATCACTCCTTTTAGGTATGCTAAGAAGTAGATGTCTTTTAAACCATTTTAATAATGCAATGTTGAAATGGTAGCCATTTTTAAACTATCTAAAAAAATACATTTTTTTATTATATGCGGTTTTTAACTGTGAAATTTTTATTTCTGAATTAATATGAACACCCATAGGATAGACAACATTAGTGCTGCCATTCCTAAATAGAGAAGAAATAAAATTAGATTGAGCCTACAAGGACATAGCTTCTTATTTAGAGTGTGGTTTGGTACCATTTCCCATCTCAGAATAACTTCTCTTGTGTGAATACTACTGACCAGTTGGCATTTTATATTTCTGAGAAAGCTAAACACAAAATATTGAGGGAGATATTAAGGTAAATTTTTCATTGTCTCGAAAATATACCGTGATTTAAATTGCCATTTAAACATGTTTATCTTAGGTGAAGAGAGCAAAAATGTTTTCCATGAAGGAAGGCTAGGATTAGAGAGAGATTGAATAATTTGACTGCAAATTCTACTTTGTTGTTATCTAAGGAAAAATCCTGAGACTATTTAAACTATGTAGTACAGGGATAACTTGAGCAAGTTAAGTGCTAAGTCTTGTAAGTTGTCTTATTTGGATGGACAAAAGCTGTGTATTTCAGGGCTTATTTCTTTTTTAATCCATTTTGTAAAAATTCTAGAGATGAAAATAATAAAATACATACAGTAATCAATTTTCAGCAATATAATAACAGAAAGAAGTATCACTATTAAGATAACTAAAATAATAATAGTAATAATTATAATAACAATAATAACCATAATTTAGTCTTTATCCTCAAGGTACCCTTTCCATTCAAGAAAATCTCTGGACAAATTTATATGAAAGGCTTAATGTTAATATCAAGCAAACATGTTTATATTACTGTATCAATCATAAGATGGGTAAAAATGCTTTCTAAGCAAGATTTTACTCTTTACAGCAGGAGGTCATTGATTTTTTTTTTTTCTTACTTATTCAGAAAATAAATGCTAAGCTTCATGATGGAGTGTGTCAGCATTGCAAAGGTATCTTGGAGTGGCGAGTAAAATTCAGGAAGTACAAACTACTGACAAAACCTAAAAAGTGGTAAGTAAAGATATTTTTTGTTAATTGTTGATCATGTAGTTTGTGAGCTTTTGGAAAATATTCTGGCTTTGGAAACTCAGAAGAAGAAGCTGCTATTATGCAACATTTCTAAAATGTGGAGTCAGCAATGACAGCATGTAGGCAATGTTAATTTTCTAATCATAAGTCTTTTATTGTAAACTTCTGAAGACACAGAGGAAAAGCAACTGCTTACCTCTTTGCTGTTAAAGCTGGTTGAACTGTGGACCTGTAGGTTTCCAAGACCGTGAGTGTCCTCCTGAACAAAAAGTGTTTCCTGAATATAGTAACACAGTTTTCTAAGGTCTTGTTTCACATCTGTCTTGGAGGGATCTGCACATCCCTTGACTTGTGTACTTTGCTAATGTTTGCAATACATGCATTTCATTACCTCTTAGCATGTTTTCTCCTTTTCTGTAAGAAACTGTAATCCTATGTAGTAAATGTTGGCATTGTTTGCATAGAGTTCTGTATTGCTTGTTTTTGTATAACTGTATGATGATCTATCACAAACATATAAATTATTTTTGTTTCCTGAAGGAGATGCTCATTCTTATTTGCTCAGTTGCAGAGATCCTTACCTCCTGTGGTAACAGACACAGCCAGTGTTTCCGCAATGGAATACAGAGCTCAGAGAAACCACAGCTGGGCTGTGGTGCACAATACAGCCAAGTTTGTCACAGTACCATGTATTTTGGTATTAGTAACCAGTTTCACTCTTTCATGTAAAAAATAAATGATTAGGTAGAAGGCTTGCTGAATAAAAAATAATAATTCTCTGTTCTGTGTACTACAGATGAAGTTGGGTTTTTCACTTTTGCTCAAATAACTATATGCATCCTGTTTTGTTTTGTTTTTTTTTTTCCCAAAGGGAGGAAAGCAGGCAAAACCCCCATGTAAATCAGGGAAGCATTGGACATAGAAAAATTTTAGAACAGCAGCTTATAATGGAATGCATGATGTTCTCCCTCATATTTTTGAACAATGAAGTTGTGCCTCAGAGCACTCTAGCTTTACAGGTCATAATTTCTATGCCAGCAGTACAGTGGCTGAGCCTTTGTTCTGAAAAGACAAGACTATGAAAATTTTCAACAGGTGAAGCTTCTGGATGAAGTAAAAGCATAATAGACATTAAAAATGTGACAATTAAAAAAAAAATGAATTCTTTATATTGCAAAAGATGGGGATGGAGGTCTTCTCTATACCTCAACTTATTTTTAGTTTTGCAACATCTTTAAAATTGTGAGTGTTAGTACAATCACAAGTATTCCCTACTTTACTTCTGAGTATTTAATTATTATAACTTAAATTATTTTTTTAAAAATAATTAAATCTGCCTTGCATTGGTAGTGCCTGTGTTTAGTATATGTTTGGGAAGAACTTTTGAGGGCATTAAAAATTATTGTCAGGAGATCAGCATTACATAGGGTATATTGTTCTGGTTATGTTCTCCAGATATACAAGGCTTTAGAAATGTGAGCTGAATGTTAAGCCACAGAATTTTGGAAATTAGAAAATCTGCAGAATATTATCATATTTTGAAAAAGAATAGTCCAAGCCCTCTACATTATTAGGTTGGGTTTGTTGAAAGTACTGTTCCATGCAGGCTTGTGTTTATAGAAAACAAAGTCTAGCACTGACTCAGTTTATACTCTGAGAAGTTAAAGAGAAAGTCATTCAAGTGTTTCAACTGAAAGCTTTTTATTTGTAAAATAAATAAAGCATATGCTGCTTTTATCATTAAAATGGAAATTATGCAATTTTAAAGTAAAATTGCATAACTTCCTACTGAAATGAATGGAAATGTTTATTCTGTCAATTTAAATATAAAATTCTTTATTTAATGTTTCTTTTTCAGTATTTGTTTTAGTAATTTTTCCTGAAAAAAGTAAGGGAGCGGGGTGAACGGCAATGATTTTGATAGTGCTAATGGATAAAACACTGAGTGTTTAATTTGAAACCAGCCTAAAATGTGTTGTTCCTCTTTTGTGAGTGTTTGTTCCTTTTTTGTGTATTGCATTTGAATACAGAATGCTTCATAAGTGTCCACAATATTTTTTAAATCATATTTTCTCTCTCTTCACAGTGTGAAATGCCTCCAGAAGACTGTAAAAGATCCTTATCATATTATTTGTCGACCATGTGCTGGTAAACTAGAAATCTGTGCTAAGTGTGGGAAACAAGAAGAAATAGTGATTCCGTAAGTACCTCAGAGTACATAGTTTCAGTCCTGTATTGATAATTCCCCTTGCAATAAGCCTTGTTTGGAAACTGCCAAGAAACTGTTGTACTTTATCCCATATTTTCAATAATCCCAACATGAATCAGTAGGAGTAATTTTCCTCACTTTCTTCAGATGAAACTGGAGGTAAAATGCTTATTGACGTTAGTGAGGATGAGACAAAAAAAGTCCTACTTGGATAAGACATTTTAACACCTATGAGTAAATTGTATATCTTCTTAACAAAGCACTTCAAAATGGGTTTTGATGTAGAGCATCATAAAATATGTGCAAGCCACTTTACTGTTTGCATTTTATCTGCCACTTGATGGTTCAGCTGAATCAGCAGAATTAACAGTAGAACTAAACAAAGACTGATATTGAGCACAATACATATTGTGCTCAATATCATATACAATACCACAGTACATTTAGCAGGCTTTTGGCTGTTTTACTGGTTGTTTTTTGTTGAGCATGATACATAAAACATTGATTTACTAGTTTGTGTTGACAGTCCAGCAGTTGCTTACTTGGTCAAGCTGTTCAAGTATTTATATGTGTGCACTTTTATATCCTTCCTATTTAGTGTGAAGTAACTTTAGGGACTTTTATTACCCTTCTTCCCACCTCCTGCCATCTTCCATCCTATATTGGTATGGAATGCCAGGAGGATATTCTATCCTCTATTCCATTCTTGTTTAAATTCCAGAGGTGGGTGGTGATAATATCCCTCTTGCTTTCTACAGGATTGATAAAGGACAAGACAGGACTGACAGTGACACTTCTAAAAATGGCCGAGAGAGCAGTAAATTGAAGGATGAGCTGGATTTTGAAACAAATTTCAGTAGTGCAGATAGTGATGAAGACTCTGATGTGCTTGAAGAACAATTTAAAACTATGAATTTTGAAACAACAGAGATCTAAAAGGTTGTGTTTCTGCAATCAAATATGGTAAACCATGCTTGCCCTTAAACTGCTCCAACCCCTGATTAGACATCTAAGGTCCTTGTATGTTAATTTTGGCTTTGTGTATGATGATGCATGTGGGGATTTTTATTAATACACATTTTTGTGTATTAGGAACAGAATTTCTTTGAAAATGTTCAGAAATTCTATTTGTAAGCATAGTTAGTTATTTCATACATATAACAACTTCCTGTTTTTATGGAATAAAGTCTCTTTGTGTAATTGTCCAAAATTCAGTATTATGTGACCATTGGAAGTATTATTGCTACATGGAAATCCAAAGTCTAGAATCTACCTGAAAGTCCAGTCTTTAATGGTTTTCTGAAAGAACTTGCAGCATTCTCTCAGTGAGTTTCCAAAAGAGGTCTTACCCTTAAGCCTGGTGTTTTTTGTTTGATTTTTTTCCCCTGCAAAAAAGAAACAAGTGTGTAAATGCCATCACCAATACAGTTCATGAACAATTAAAGCTTATTTACTATGTATAAGTGTGCATTGCAGATTTGTTGTAAATATTTTGACCTTGTTGTAAATATTTTGTAGTATTTTGTAAAGAAAAAGCCTGCAGACTTTAGAATTTCTCATCACACTTTCTTTTCATTTTCAGAATTCAGATATTCATCTGGGTCTGGTGTGGTTTTCTCTGATATGAAAAGACTTACACAGTGGAGTGATGCTTATAGAGTTACTCCCTTCCCATTTTCTCTTCTGCTGTTTATTAATCTGTACAAAGAACTTAACTGAAGTTGCAGTAACTGTCTTTACAGGATTTAGAATGATTTGATTTCTTTTGTACTGTCTTCTTGGTCTTTACATTTAACTAACAGTGTATATATGTACATTAATCTATGACAATATGCTGTGTCACATCTGCTTTGGTGCTTTGCCTGATTTGCAATAGTGAGCATGGAAAAACTTGATTATCAAACTACATTTTTCAAATGCTGTGTGAGGAAATTCAGCTCTGAGTTTGATGCCCATCCCTGCCTTGGAATGAAGGAAATACTCAAACTTAATCCTCTGGGTGCAAATAGGCACCCGATGTCTGTCCTGTCAAGCTGGAAAACAAGAAGTGTTCAGTGGCAGAAAATGAGGTTGTCAGGTATGTTCAGAAGTATTGGATCTGAAGGTTATCTGAAGGTTTCACTGGCAGATAAGTCCTCCCAACAGCACAGCAATGACATCTGACTTAATGTCACATCTGTTGTCCTGCCAGTTGTTGTCAATAAGGGCAGAGTAAACAAGGAATATCCCATGCACACACTGCAGATGATCAGGTAGGAGGGTGCATAGAAGGAAGTTAATAAGTAATCTGGATTTAACTTCAGAAGGGGTCTCTCTGAAGGGGTAACCAAAGGTGAACTTGGATTTTGAAAGTGCCATACATATGGGAAATGTTCTTCCACTTGGAAAAATTTTTAATGGCCTTGTTCTTTGTTGAAAGGTGAGAGGAAATCCTGGAATGACAGAAAAACATGTGATGGAACTGGCAGAAGCTGTATAATGAGAAAATAAGGGGAAGAATTCTCTTCTTATAGTGGTAACACAACCTGTCAGTACCAGGAGTGAGCAGAGTGACAGAGATAAACAATGTGTTGCAACACAGTGCAAAAATGTTTGTACAAAGGGAAAGTCCTCTGAAGTCTTCACATCGCACTCCTGATGCTCTGTTCAGAGCTGGTACTATAACGTGAGAGAGAGCGACAGTGAGAGAGAGAGGGAGCAGGAGAGGATGCCAAGAGCAAGTCTGGTCCCTGGGCACACCTTATCAGGGGCCTTCAGAATGGGCGTGGAATAAGACTTGGGCCAAAGGGATTTCAGATACCTGATGCTTCAGGGCAAGGTTACAGATGTGGGATAGGCCATACATTTTATGGGGTGAGACAAAACATTCCATTTGACCCTTGGACCTGTCTGTAGGTGAGGGCATTGTTCAATCAAAGGGGGGATTGCCTTCAACTGGCTCTACTATTGTTTTCTAGTTGTTTAGTGACTAAGGTTTGGTATCTCAAAGCTTGTTCTCATTTCAATCTCACTTATAGTTTTTGTATGTTCCAAATCTTTTGCCAGGCAACCATATTTATAAGGCTTTCCTATTTCATCTTCCCCAGCAGAAAATTTTTGACAATTCTTTCACAAATATTAATGAATTTGTGTCTCTAAACAAGAGGAAATAAAAATTCCACAGTGCCTGCAGGATATTGATATGCAGTTCAAACAGTATGACTGATCGGAGGTTTCAGGATTTGTCTGAACCTTGCAGTGCCTCACCAAATACATTACTGAAGAAGAAAATGATAGGTGTTAATTAGTCATCTGAAGAATACTTGATGCATCACTGGTGATGCAGTGATGTCGCTGACAGTTGAGTTCCTATTACCAGGTTGCCCTTAGGAGTGTCATTTGGCATGACTCAACACTGAAATAATTAATTAGGTAGTGGACTGCCAGTATGTGTGAGGCAGGCATGCCAGATGATTCTTACTCCACAAGGGGAAATGCTCATCATAGCTGGAGCTGCCAGAACTCAACATGCTTGACTTACACATTTCTGGGAATCAAATTCCTGTGTCAAGGATTTCTTGAGACAACCTGGATTCATTGCAGTATGAGGAGAGCCTGATGTGGACACAGTGCTACCTCCTAAGATAATTCCTTTACAATCTTCTCTGTCAAAATTCACAGGCATCTCTGAGGCATCCTATCATCAAATGTTTTGAAGGATCAGGTAATGCAAAAAACATTGCCCCATGATTTACTTCCAGTTTTGCATGGGCTGTGCTCTTCTATTCTTCTTTTGGCTACTGATTAATGTGTATTCCTCCAAAATACTGTAGTAATACTGGCCTCTGAAGGTTTATAGAACTACCAGTTAATTAAGAAAAGTACAGCTTGCTTTCTCCCTATAATGGGCATGTACTTGGATGTTGAGATGTAAATCATAGCATTAGCAAGGAAAATACAAGAAAATATAGCAGGTCATCAAATGTGAGCCACCTTGTAAACCTCTAGCTCTATAATTATGTATGTTTTCTTTGTTTAGGAGTTCTCATAAGTAAATGTATGCTGGTAGAAAATGCAAAACTAAGTGCTTATTGGAAGCATCACCCTGGCTTGCAGAGTTAATGAGGAAAGCTTTGTAAGTGACAGGAAGAGATGCTTTTCTTTATCAGATGTTTGGGGAGCTGCTCATGCAAACTACTGGGTCACTTATTTCTCCTGCCTACCTTTCATCTGAAAGCTAATACAATTCAAAACTCTTGGTGAAAAAGAAGGTATGAACTCTGCATACATACTCATTACATGCAGTGAGTTTGTAGGTAGGATTCCTAATCTTTGAAACAGTTGAAGTGAGATCTTTCTGTAGCTTAACAATACATTTGTAGACAAATTACCTGTAACAGACTAGAAAGAAAATATTTTACTTGTTTGAAGTAGCAGACTTTTCTGCTGGAGCCCCTAAAAATAGTTAAGATGAAATCACATTAAAATTATATCTTTTTTTTCTGAAGGCAATAAGAAAATATATATTTGTAGTAATAGGGGTAATACTTATAATTCAGTCACCAATAATAATTTGAGGACATGAAGATAGGCGCCAAAGGCATTAAGATTTTACCTGAAAAATCTCTCCTTGCATTTTTCCGCTGACATAACTTCAGAAACCCAAATTGAAAGGATCAGATGAATTCTTATAAGTGCTTTGAAAACAGCACAAATAGTTTAATAATTTGCTTTTAAACTGCAACTGAGAAGATCATGTTTTTATTCAAAAACAAAACAAAAGAAGGTTTATGCCTGTTACCAAATGGCAGCACTCACTTGAAATCTCTCTTTTAAGGACATCTTGCATTTTGGGGCCTCAAGATGGTAGTATCTCTTTTACTTGCACTTGACTTGCAATTTATATAAGCTTATATGAGCAATATGACACAATGTGTCAAAAGTATCCACAGTTTAATTATTCTGAAACATTCCAACAATGAAACTTGTAGCATTTATCGAATTAGGTGTAGTGGCAAAGCTACGTGTGTAACAGATCTGTTTTTCATTCTAGGATCTCCTGACTACTATGTTCCTTTTGGGATTATTTCGTATCCTTTTCTCTCAGCCGTTGCACTCTGGAAGTGTCTATCTGGCAGGAGAGCTGTACAGCCTCTGACCCTCAGCAGCAATGTATTGCTCCGGGTAATTCCCATTAAAAAGGAACAGAATTTATGCCAGAACAGTAAAACAAAGTGCTCTGCTTTGTGGGTCCACCTTGGAGATGCACTGTGTGGGCTTCATCAGACACAGGGGAAAATGGTTAGATCAGCTTCTCAGAAAGACTAACCCTGTAGCACCCATTCTACTCAAACCTTGCTGTGCAAACCCAAACAAAATACACTTGTGAGGTGTATGTGAAGTGAAATAAAGTGGTGGGTCTTGCCAGGAAAAGATGAAAAGGCACTACAGTATTTTTTATAGTATTGGAGAAATGCAGAATAATCCCAAACCCTCCATATCCAAGGAAAAATTAGCCCCATAAAACCAGACGACTTTTATTCTTTTAAGGAACAGCAGGTTTACTATTACTTACGTGACAAAGATTTTAAAAGTCTCTCTAGAAATGGCTAATATCTCATTCTCCAAAGAAAATAACTCTTCAGTAGCAGCTTAGTCTTTCTAACAATAAGTTAGTGATGGAACCTTCCAAAATGGAACAAGGTTTACCTGCATTACTTAGAGAAAAGTTATAATACAATCTTATGTTATAAAACTAATCTTGTATTTTAAAAAGATCACAAGGAATTTGCCTAGAAAATACCTAGTGAGACTCAAGTTGTATTTCCACAATCTTCCCATTTTAGGAAATGGTTGCCTTAAGGTTTAAGGCATACCAAAACTATGCAGTGGCCAGAACCTCAGAGCTATGGTTTTCACTGTGTTTCAGCCAGAAATTTTCCTTTATTTCCAGTTTTTGTACAATCCTGAGTTGCATTTGGGTATTAATAATTCTGACATTATGAATTCTCCTTTCGAGAAAGAATTGCATTTTGGATCACCACACCTAACTAGTTGCTTCTTTCTCATTCTCATTACTGCACCTAAGGTCTACAGAGACCAAGTACAGGTACTGGCTATCTATGTTACTTCAAAAAATCACATCAGTAACTGGCTGGTTGTAAACAATCCACCCCCCAACCCCCACCCCCCTCCCCCAAAAAAGAACCAAAACAAAACAAAAAACCCACCAAAAAAAACCCATTAAACTCAAAAACAAAATGAAAAATCCAAACAAAAACAATAACAAACAAAACAATCACAACACTATATCCCCCCCCCCTCCCCCGTAGCACTTACCCAGGACACTCTCAGAATGAGTCCTGTTGGGCGTTCTTGTCCCTTGCCACTAACGTGTGCCATTAATGAGAACAGTGTATGGTTCTAGAGGAAGGGTAATGCATATGCTTTAGTCTTTAAATGGAGAGAAGGGCCTCTGTCATATACCTGATGGTGTCAAGCAGGGTTGTCCAGCCATGTTTGTCCAAAATGGCATTTAGAGGCAGAGGGTGGGGGGAAGGATGGAAGAAGGGGAAGATGGTGTGGCAGGAAACACCTAGTGAGTATGGAAGTACAGAAGTTCACATAGCCTGTACCTGCCTCTCTTCATCTCTGCGATCTTCAGCTGTCACTGTAGTGTGCATGGAAGTAAGACCAAATAATACACCTAAAACTTTCCTGTAATCAGCTGACAAGTTGCTGCTGTCTTGCAGCCTGTCAGCTGAGGTTTTTGCAGGTTCCAAGGAATGAAATACATTGTTACTGTTTGAGACAGCTTAACTTTTGTTGAAATGAAAGCAATTTAAAGGAGACATTACAACGGACAGTAATTACTGTTTGGTACTTCTCCTGGGGCCTGAATGGAAATTATTTAAAAATACTGATTCCGATTAAGAATCCCACTCATAGAACTGAAGCTAGACCTTCACAGTGACAAAACACAGTTATCACTACTTTACCTTTGTAATTTGAGAAACCTTTCAGTGAGATTTCGTTTGGGTTTTTTGTTTGAGATTTTTTTGAGGTGTGTGGGGGTTGTTTTGGTATTCTTAACATTAAAGCATTTTACCATTAGTGACCGTGTTGAGTGTAGATCTTTTCTTTAAAGAGCTACTGCTTAAATAGCCCTGAGTTTTGTTTGTCTGCAAATGGGGAATGTGTTGTGACTCAGCTTGAGCCAGCAGTCAAGCCACAAGTATCTGCTTACTCACTGCCCTACCCACAGGACTGGGGAGAGAATCAGAAGGGGAAAAATTAGAGAACTCACTCATGGGTTGAGATACAGGCAAAATTCACACACAGAAACAAAGCCAAGTAAGGAATTAATTGACTGCTCCCCAGTAGCAGGCAGGTGTTCAGCCATCTCCAGGAGAGCAGAGCCCCATTACACATGATGGTGACTTAGGAAGACAAATGTCATCACTCCAAGTGTCCCCCCTTTCTTCTTCTTCTCTCCATTTTATATACTTAGGATGGTGACCTGGAATATCCCTTTGGTCAGTTTGGGCCACCTGTTCTGGCTCTGTTTCTTTCCAGTCCCCCACGGGTACCCCTACCCTACCACTGAGGCTGCATGAAGAGTAGAAAGGGCCTTGGCTCTGTGTAACGTGTGCTCAGAAATAACAGCCATCTCTGTATAATGAAAACCCTATTCAGCACAAGCCCAATACAGCCCCATGACAGCCAGTGTAAAGAAAATTATCCCAGCTGAAACCAGGACAGAATGTTGTACTCCTTCTTGAAGGTAAATGATGTTACAAGGAAGCTTGATTTACTGGCCTTGAGTAAACTATACTGGTGGTTAAATATGTCTTCCCTAATTGATTTGACATCAAGATAGCCCTGTGGTCTTCATTTTTGATATACTTTAATGAAGAATTGGATTAGAGTTTTTTCATTTATATTTAGAGGACTGCTTTGCTGTCTCATTGTAGAGAAGGTCCCCAAATCTGTGTGACAGTTGTTCCAGAGTACAAAGTGTACATAAATCATCTAGAGTAGATGCACAAAGTCACAGAGATTCCTTTTTTAAATTTTTTTTTTCCCACTTAGTAAGTATGGAAGGAAGAAAGTGGAGCTGAAAAAAACCTGTGTTTACAAATTGGAACATTTGTCAGTGCTGTGTTGCTGCTTTTACCAACGTCCTCAGGTTTCTCTCTCGAAAAAGCTACCTTGCAACACCAGGTGTCACTGTAACAAAGTGAAAAAGTTTGCTTGCAAGTTAGCTTCGTGCTGCTCGTTGATACACCAGACTGCGTATCTCTGGGGGCTTTGTTTTCATTCCTCAGAGCTAGCTGGCCAGCTTTTATCTCACAGGGATGCGGCTCCCCTTGATCTGTGTGCTGAGCTGCAACCCAGACCATCTACACTTCTAGCAAGCTTCCGACGGGAGGAGGTAGGCATCAAGGGCAAACACCTGAGCCACAAATTCTGCTTTTAGTGTGAAGATTTTTAGTAGGGAAAGCATAAAAAGCTGTACTTCCCAGCCTGGCTAACCCACCTGCAGTTGCAGTAGCACAAATAGACAAGTGCTGAGTTTCCGAAAGTCAGAGCATACCGACCTGTATGTTGGCCTCCTGTAATGTGAATATTTAATTAATTAGAACATACACATACAAATAAAAATAAAACACACACCAACCAACCAATCAAGTGAATGCTGCACAAACACAATAAATTACACAAATCAAAGGATTACACATAGTTAGATTAAGCTCAGCTCATTAATTTCCCCAGAAATCTTGGAGAACCTGGTGTAGAGCTGTTGAGAGAGAAAGAAGCCTGAAAATGAAAATGTACTTCCAGTACATCACATTTAATCAAGAACTCTCAGTTTCCACAGCAGCTTCTCAGGAGCAACCCTGAGTTGCTAGTTCAGAGGACATGGAGCTATGTGTCAGGATCAACACAATTTTTAGTTTACTATTAAGTTAGGGGGGAAAAAAAAAGTGTAGGTAGAAACAAGTTAGTCTGCTTTCCTGTTATGAATTCCTTCTCAAATATCACCTGCTCATTAACCATGGTGGGCCAGCCATAACTGAGAGCCAAATGCTCACACAGCTCCTTCCTAGCTTGGTTTTCTGCAACATAGGAAAAGGTAGAAGAAATGAGAGGAGACTTGTGAGATAGTTACAGCTTAATAGAGATAGCAAATTGTGACCCAACCCTAACCCAATCCTAACTCTGAAAGTTAAATAGAAGTCAACAATGGGTGTTGGGGCAGTGCAAATCAAAAAGAGAAATTCACTTTCCACTTCCAAGACCTGTTTAGGTGCTACCAGAGGAGCAGGGCTTTGCCATGAGTTACATTTGTGGGCTGCTGTGGAGAAAGTCAGCTCCATGTCAGCCAGACCCAATACTTTCATGTACTGAATGTGCTTTCTGAATTTTTTCAGTGTCACAGTAAACTCAGCTCTGAGTGCCAAAAATATAAATGATTGTAAAACTTTCAGTGCAGACCTTTACTGACATACACTGAACAAATTTGTAAGAAACTATATCAGCATATGCTTGGGGATCCATATGTACCAGTCTAATTAAATGTTCGCCTCTCACTAAAAGTACGTCACTGTGTTCACTATGCATGATAAGCAGTTCTTTCCTTGAAAGAAATATTTAAACCTGTATTTTAAAAAGAATTAATGTCTTCTTCATTAGTCAGCAATTGGAAGACTGTCAACAAAAAATACAAGAAATAGTAAGGTGCTAAATATTTAGGACAGGGATATTTGGAATCATTTGAGTTTGAAAGCAGCAGCAGCATCTGAGTTTGTAGTTTGTCTTTTTCTCTTTTGGACGTTCCTCAATCCCTTTACTTCATGAATGTGTGTGTGTGTGTGTGTGTGTGTGTGTCTGTGTCTGTGTCTGTGTCTGTGTGTCTGTGTGTCTGTGTGTGTGTGTGTGTCTGTGTGTCTGTGTGTGTGTGTCTGTGTGTGTGTGTGTGTCTGTGTGTGTCTGTGTGTCTGTGTGTGTGTTCAGGAGAATACTGAGTTTGAGTGGTCATGAGAGGTACAAAGTACAAGTGCTTAGGAATAGAGACCTGAAAACTATTTATGGGTCACTTTTCCTCAGAGGTTTTCAGAGCCCCTTCTTATTTCTTCCACAATTAATTTCAGACTTTGACTGGTGATCTCTAGCAGATAATCATGTGCATAAGAGCATTCAAATCCATGCCAGCATCTCGTTTTATTTAGTATTAAAGGTCTGTATTACTATAGAGCAGCTTTACAGAACAGCACTGCATTGGGCTTCTTTCTGAAATACTAAAGGACTTTCTGAGACATAACAAATTGTTGATTTATCTCAGGTATCCTGGTTTTTTGGCTGGATTAATGTTAGCTTTCTTCCTAGTAGTTGGTACAGTGCAGTGGTTTGGATTTATATTTTTGAAAGAAAGAAGAGTTTAAAGGGTTTAACACCAACCAGCAACTAAGTTCTAAACAGCCACTGGCTCATTCTGCTCTTCCCACTTCTCCTCTTTCCTCCTCACTTTCTGGTGAGATAAGGGAGAAAATCGGAGTTAAAAAGAAAAAGCATGGGTAGAGATAAAGACAGTGTAAAATGTACAGCAAAAGGTAAAGCAAAAGCCACACACACACAAGCAAAGAAAAACAAGGAATTAGTGTACTGCTTCCCATGGGCAGGCAGGTGTTTATCCATCTCCAGCAGACCAAGACCCCATTACAGGTGATGGTGACTTGGAAGACAAATGTCATCACTCCAAATGTCCCCCACTTCCTCTTTCTGCCTCCACGTCATATACTTAGTATGATGTCCTATGGTGTGGAGTATCCCTTTGGCCAGCTGGGCTCAGCGGTCCTGGCAGTGTTCTTTCCCTAGCCTCCTCTCTGGTTGCATGGAGTGAGAAGCAGAAAAAAGCCTGGTCCTGTGTAAGCACTGCATCAAATCAACGGGAATCTCAGTACTAAATCTAATGGTGTCTGGATCTGACATTTTCAAATCTCTACTGTGCTAAAGGTGATTTTCTATACAAAGCCTTCTGCACTGCAGGCATGCATATCAAATTTTGCTCCTGCTGAGAAGACCTTGTGGTTCACATGGAATCTCACTATAATGAGATGATTCACAAGCATATCCACAAATGCTTGTTTATCCAAATTGGTCACACAGAAGCTGTTTTGAAAAGCTACTATAGCAGTGTTTATTTCTGATGTGAATTTCGCTTGCTGGAAATTCCATTGTACCTAAGGAGGTCTTAAGTCTCAAACAAGGTAGATTTGGGGGTTAAACTTTTACAGCCCAACAAATAGGTGTAATTCCTGTTCATCCCAAAAGTGAATTCTCTGACCCAGATCTTGGGAGCTGAAGTATTCATCTTCCAATGGTCTAAGACAGGTGGACACAGAGGAGCTGGGTGAGACAGCTACCAGCAATTTTTCTGTTTTTCTAGACTTTTCTCAGGTAGAGCTAAAGATTTCAAACATCCCTCCTCTGCTAACTTGATTGTTTTTTGACTCTGAGGGTATTTTGTGCATTGAAAACAAAATAGATGAAATTTAACAGCATCTATTGAATCTTCCCTAGATCCCTCCATAATTTTTGTTGCAAACTTAAATGATTTCTATGGTAACAGCAGAAGAGTGTTTCTAAATTTATAACATCACATTGTGGGTGGGCATCAGAGCTCTTCTCTGCTAAAAAATATTTGCAATTGAACCATTATAGGTAAAGTCTAAGATTTGCTTAAAACAAATGATGTATTTTTATTATTTTACTTTTTAGGGCTGATACAATAGGCAAAAAGTTTATTTTTGTTGACAATTCAACTCATGAATCACTTGGTTTGGCTACAGTAAATGTGGTGACTGGATTAGCTGCACCAGCAGAGTTCAGGTGTCAAGAACTCTTCCTTTATAATGTTAATCATAAAAGTGTCAAAATCAAATGTCTGGTCACAGTCATAACTGATGACTTCATTGTGGTTTACAATGTGAGCATTTATAATTAAAGACCAAATCAAGAGCATGAAATGAAAACACATATCCCTAGTGCTTTTTGAAATGGATAAGGTAGTGACTAGGTCTCTATTAAAAGCTGAAAGTAGTTTTTTTTTT